ATGCTTCCTGGACCAGCTGTCCGAGGACCTCAAGGGACAGTGCCGAACCCTCGTTATCCTCGACAGCGCGATTGAGCACCTGAAGAAGAAGGACGGCCGGGCTGACCTAAAGGCTTTCCTCAAGCCATTCGTGGTCCGCGGGTTCGACTTCCTCCCGGAGGGGGCGCGCCTGGCCATGGCTGACTTGATCGCCATCGTTTTCCACGAGACCGTCAACACTGATGAGGGCCTCCGCCGGGCCAAAGCGACGAAGGATACAGTCGTTGGGAACAGAGAGCACTTATTCAGTCACGTCTTGCGCCTGCTCCCCACGGGAAACATGTTCTGCGAGGAGTTGGATCTGGCCGTCATCGATCTCAGCAAGAACGACTGCTTCCATGCGAAGCTCAAGGAGCTGGAGAACATGGTCGTGCTCTTAGACAACGTGAAGGACGACGAAGCTCTGGGCGGCCGCGCGAATAAGGACATGATCGTCCATTTCAAGGCTAGCTATCTCGACCAGTTAAAGACGGGGCAGGACATCTGGACTTTCATCCAGAAGAATTCGCCCAAGCGCTTCCTCACCATGGAGGCCGCCCGCCTTGAAGCCACCCAAGAGTTCTACAGGAAGGTCGCGTACGACCGCATGATGCGAGCGGTAGAAGAGAAGGCAACTATTCTCATCAATGCTGCCATCGACAAGCAGTGCTGTGAGCAGTACAACATTGCCTCGATCAAGAGCATGGACGAGGCCATTAGCGCCGTCGTCAAGTATGGAGTGCCCTCTGCAGACCAGCTTTCGCTGAACTCTTTTGCCAGCGTAGACCAGACGGCGTCCTTCTCTCACTATCGCGAGTCGGTGCTAGCATTCGCGGAGTCGATGGCAGCGGCATTGCGGATGTGGACTGACAACAAGAGGACCTGCGACGACGCAGCCACCAAGACCTTGCTCAGCAACCTGCGCTCGGAGGACGTTCTCACGGCGCCCCCGTCCGTCACGGGGGCCAACCTGCAGAAGCTCCTGCACTGCATCCAGAAGAAGCTGTGGGCGTCAACCCTGGACCAATCCTTCAGCATCTTCAAGCCGCTGCGCGATGTTTTGCTGGCGCTGGTCAGGGTGAAGAACAGGGATCTCGCCGTCTTGGAGAAGGGCGAGGCCCATAAGGTCCTGATAAGCATGTCCTCGCAGTTCATCTCGTCGGAGGAAGGCGACACGGGGGCGCCGGCAGCGTTCGGGGGTAAGATCGACAAGCTGACGTGCTCAATGGCCTATCTGATGCCCCTATGGGACGGGGCGAACATCGACTGCTGCACCCTGAACGTGGCCGCCGACTCGGGCGGCGAGAAGTACGACACTACGGTTGCTCTGTGCGCTTTGCCCATGGTCCGGGTCGCCCACTTCTACAAGATGCTGGTCGACCACGTGGCGCTGATCGCTGAGAGGCGCGAGGGCGGCCTGGACAAGTCCGTCAGTGCCGAGGACTCCCGTCGCTAGGAGCTGAGCAGGAGGAGGAGGGGGGGGAGGCGGAGAGGAGTCCTGAGGAGTGGGAGGAGGGAGGAGGAGGGAGGAGGAGGAGGAGGAGGAGGGCCAGAGGACCCCAGGAGGAGGAGGAGGAGGAGAGGAGGAGGAGGAGGAGGAGGAGGGGAGGAGGAGAGGAGGAGGAGGAGGAGGAGGAGGGGAGGAGGGGGAGGAGGAGGAGGAGGAGGAGGAGGAGGAGGAGGAGGAGGAGGAGGAGGATCGGGCCGGGCGAAAGGGGGGGATAGCAAGGGGGGGGTGAGAATCAGTTCGCGTAGCTGATTTTCCCGGCGCCTCCTGGCGCCAGAAGCGGCTGTGCATCAAGGAATGGGCCCCATCGGTGGGACCGAAACCAGCTGCATGCAGCAGATTTCGTAACCCCCCCTTTCCCAATCCCCCCTTTCGTCCGGCCCGAGGAGGAGGAGGAGGAGGAGGAGGAGGAGGAGGAGGGGGAGGGGAGGAGGAGGAGGAGGAGGAGGAGGAGGGAGAAGGAGGAGGGAGGAGGGAGGAGGGAGGAGGGAGGAGGGAGGAGGGAGGAGGGAGGAGGGAGGAGGAGGAGGAGGAGGAGGAGGAGGAGGAGGAGGAGGGGAGGGAGGAGGAGGAGGAGGAGGAGGAGGAGGAGGAGGAGGAGGAGGGAGGAGGAGGAGGAGGAGGAGGAGGAGGAGGAGGAGGAGGAGGAGGAGGAGGAGGAGGAGGAGGAGGAGAGAGGAGAAGGGGGAAATGGGGGGGGGCCAGGACCTCCCTCCCCTCCCCTCTCCCTCGCCTTCCTCCTCCCCAGGACGTCAAGGCCTTGCGGGATGCGTTGGGGCATCTGCACAGCATGCGGTGTGCGAAGGCCTCCCTCTGCAGCATTCGCGACCCTTCGACGAGGTGGGCTGCGGCTTCAGAGGACGCGGTGGTCTCCATTGACTCCATGACCACTGTGTTCAGCGAGTGGGTTGATGCGGCGACGGGGGGGGCAGTGGCCGATTTTGGCATGTGGGTCTCGAAGATCGCGCAGGGCATCGCGGCCGACCTTGACAGGATTGGCAAATCCCAGCCCCTCGAGCCCGTCTGGTCATGCTTGAGCGAGCAGGGCTACGAACCAGACGCACATGCGGCCGTGCTCAACGTGGCCGTGAACACCCAGGCCGCAACGGACCTCTTCCACGCATGGAAGGTTTACGACAGCTACATGAGCTCGGTCCACCCCACGATGGTCAAGATCTTTGAGGCGCAGGCTGCCAGCTTCGACGTCGACGATCGCGAGATCCACAAGGTCGCCTCGCTGATCGGCGTGAAGGCCTACGTCAGGCCGCTGGTGGAGGGAGAGACACGCAAGTCCCTCTTGCAGAGGGCTTGCAACGGTTGGAAACTTCGGAAATTGAAGCCACACCCGACCGTCCTGATGTGGTTCCAAAAATTTCTTGGGGAGGCGTTCCTGTTCGATTTGGTGGAGCCGGAGCCGGCGGCGCCGACCGCAGCCGACGAGCCAGCGGCAGCGGCGGCGGAGGAGCCGCCGGAGCCAGCAGGGCCAGCAGACGAGCCGAGGGAGCAGCCGCTGCTCGCTGAGCAGCCGGCGGCGGCGGCGGCCTCGACCTGAACGAATTCGCGTCGGAGGGCGGGGGCCCACTCTAGCAGGAAATGGAATAGTAGTGGGGGGGGGGAGGAGGGTGGAGGTGGAGGAGGGGAACTCGGTGGGCGCCACAACTACCACAGGCGCCCCCCTTGCAGTACCCCAGCGCGTTCTTTCGGCCCCCCCCTCTTCGGTCAGCTTGCGCCTCGCCGAAGTTGGCCGTTTTCTCTGGGCTGCCCGGCTGCCCCCGCAGGGGAACCGCTCCTCCTCGCTTTCCCGCCTCCGCTTCCGCCTTCCTCCTTTTTCCTCCTCTTCCTCAGACCCCCCCTCTCTGCTTGTCCTCGTCCTCTCGTCCTCGTCCTCCTCGTCCTCGCCCTCGCCCCCCCCTCTTCCTCCTCCTCCTCCTCCTCCTCCTCCTCCTCCTCCTCCTACTCCTCCTCCTCCTCCTCCTCCTCCTCCTCCTCTTCCTCCTCCTTCTACCTCCCTCCTCTTCCTGCTACCTCCTCTCCTTCTCCTCATTCTCCTCCTCCCTCCTCCTTCTCCTCCTCCTTCTCCTCCTCCTCCTCCGCCTTCTCCTCTTCCTCCCCGTCCGGTCCTCCTCCTTCCTCCTCCTCCGCCTCCGCAGTCATGTTAGCAGCGCGTATTGTCCTGGAGTCCTGGGCTGAGCCTGAGCCTGCGAGCGAGAGCCCGAAAACCGTGAACCGACGGCGGCAGGCGGCGGCGCGGCTGGCCGGGCCGGCCTGCGGCGGCGACGACGGCGGGGGGCGGGGGCCGAGGGAGAGGAGAGAAGGGAGGAGGGCAAGCTAGGTGCGCTCGCGCCAAATCTGCGCATTTGACACTACCGATCCCTCCAATTCTCTCCCGTTCCTCCTCCTTCTTTCCCCTCCCCTCCCGTTCCCCCTTTCGCCTCGCCCCCTCTTCCGACGACCCCAGGTCGAACCCCAGGTTTGACCCCAAGAGGGAGGGATCTGATTCCTGTTTGGATCGCCCCCAGACCAGCACCAACGCCGGCGCTTACGCCAGCGCCGACACCAGCGCTGACGCCAGCGTCAACGTGTGCGCTTACGCTGGCACCAGCGCCATCGCCAACACCCAGCGCCGACTCCAGTTTCGAAGCCAACACTAACGCCAGCGCCCACACTGGCACCAGTGCCAGCGCCTGCACCAGTACCGCCGGCAGCACCGACGCCAGTAGCAGCGCCAGCCCTCCACCAGCACCGACACCAGCACCGACGCCAGCCCCAGCGCCAGCTCCTATGCAGGCACGAACGCCAACGCCTTCACCAGCGCCGACGTGAGCAGCGACGCCAGCACCACCGCCGGCGCCTTCGCTGGCGCCAATGCCAGCGCCTACACCAGCACGAACGGCAGCACCGACGCCAGCATGAACGCCAGCGCCGACGCCAGCACCGACGACAGCATCAACGCCATGTTTTTTGTTTCTCTCTCTCTCTCTCTCTCTCGCTCTCGAACGAGAAAGCAGACCATCTCGCCACATGCGGGGCGAGTGGCATGTGATGCGGGCTGCCGGTTTCGACCTGGTGGGCCCGAGACTCTTCGAGCTGATGACGGATAGCATCATGCACTTGACAGTTTACGTGGTTATTCATGGAGTTGGTCGTGCAGTGCGGCGCGTAGCTCGACTGACCAGGGCGGCGGCGACGAGACTCATGACGTCTCGTAACACAAGGGGGGGAAGCGGCACGCGCAGCACGTCAGATCCCAACAGGACGGCACTGAACAGCACAACGGGCGCCTACTGTACGACGCCGATGGCGGGAGGGAGCTCTTTGCCCTCGACGCGGACTTCCGTTCGTGCGGACTTTCGTTCGTGACGCCTGGGGCTCTCCATTGTGTCCTCTGGGGCGTGGCTTCTGCGTCGGGGTTGTCTTGGGTTTTCGGGAGGGCTTCTACTGTTCGCCTCCTGGGTCCGTTTCTGCTCGCCCCCAGGATATGCCCTCAGGACTTGTGTTTAACATGCAAGCAGACATGCACGACTGGAATGACCAGCAGCACGACGTCGAGCAGTGCGCCGACAAGACCGGTTGGTGAGGTGTGCGCCCTCGTATCGGCCACGCGGCTGGGACAAGCGGAGGTACAGCATAGTTTGATGATTTCGGCTTAGAGCTCTGCTGTTCGCACCCGCCAGAATATTGGTTCTTGTAGTTCCTCCCTCTTATCTTCTTTCTCCTCGTGCGCTTTCCTTCGTTTCCCGCTTGCCCTTCAAGTCTATGCGAGGGCAGTGGGTGTGGGCTTGCAGTGGGGCCGCGCATCAAGAAACCAACTGTTTTTCGTCAGGGTGCCCTGGGTTTCTACGCTCCGCGCGTTGCGTGGTGACTCCACGCGGCCGTTGAAGAAACTGGTGCGTTCAGGGTGCTCTGGGTTCCATCCCGTACGCACATCGAGCTTGTGGTTTTCAGGGCTGGGTTTCTTACGAGGGTTTCTGACGGCCGCGCCCGCACTGTTGCTCACGCTCGCCCATGACCAGCCCCAGTGGCCGCTCTTGCAGCCCTCGGCTCGCCCTCTCGCCGCCTGGCTCGGCCCGCCGATGCTGCGGGGCTGCGGGATACGGCTGTGCATCTTCTATATCGCTTTGTAGCGCAATAACTCTGAGTGGTTGCACCCAAGTCTTGCGCATACTGATCAGTCGGCTTGCTAGCCTTGCCCACTCTTGCCCGGTGGGTTCCTCCTTTCCCCCCTGCCCCGTCTGCCGTGCTAGGACCTTGACCTGTTGTCCTGCCGTCTGCAGCTCTGCAGGGCCATTAGTGTGCCATGTGCTGTGATCTGGCTGCCGTGGTGCGCGATCGTGTTGTGTAGGTGTCGGTCGGGCCACCGGTGGTGCGCATGCGACGTACAGCCCTGTAACCTCGGTTTTGGTTGCGTTCCTCGTCTGTTTCTTCTTCTTTTCCCCCTTCCTCCGGTTTCCCTTCTGGGATGATGCTTTTGTGCGCGTTTGACGTTTGTTCTTGGCCGTTTGGGCCGCAGGGGATATCCGCACGACGCCCTTGCCGCAAGCCCCATCTCTTTATCCTCGCTCCTCCCCCCCTCCGCCCTTTTTCTTGAATGCAAGCAGCTCCTGTCGGACGCGCGCCCGATCAATAATCATCCCTGGTTGCTGTTATTTTGCCCATCTCGCGAACAGTCCTGTGTACAGCTTTCTCTGCGTTTGAATATTTGTAAATTTGTAAATAAAACATGCTTAAACGAATCTAGACGCAGGGCCGTGGCATCGGAAGCGTGGATTTACAGTTTTGAACGAGTGGTCTGGGCTTCTTATCCCGATCTCGGGAACGCGTCGGGAACGTGGATCCTTCGTTTTCGTGCAATGGTTTGTGGAGTCTGGGCGGGGGTCCGTTGTTTCCCAGAATATGGGCTCATGATTCTGACTCTGATTGTTCTTCTTGTTCTTCTAGGTACGGCTATTATATTAGTATTATTATTTTAATTTGAAGTATGACTACTGCTCTTTTGTTACTGTTGTCAATTTTATCATCAAGAGTAGCAGTAGCGCTGCCCTTGTTATTTGTGCTACAGTCGGGGCGCTGAAGAAGGAACCCTTTTCGTTGGGGAGGGGCTCGGTGTTCCTGAATTGTTCCACAGCCTGCCCAAGGTTTTCCTTCAGCTTTCGATGGGAAGTCGAAGGTTGACTTCTGGAAAAAAACGGCCTCGTTCCTTATTTCGGGTTCCTTAGGTCAAGGCCCCGAAGGAGGGTTCCCTATTGAGGGTTCCTTGTTTGGGGTTCCTTATCTAGGGCTCCTCGTTCCTTCTTTAGGGCTCCTCATTGGGGGTTCCTTTCGAGGGAGGATGGGCCTTGCCGTGCGGGTTCTCACCCGGTGGGCGGCCGTGGGCGCCGCGCCCCGTGCGCTCGGCGGTGTGTCCGGCCGCGGGCTCGTGCGCCGGGCGGGTGGCGCCGGGCTCTGGCGCGGCGGGCGGCCGTGGGCGCCCCGTTCGGCGTGTGCGCGCGTGTGTGTGTGTGTGTGCGTGTGCGTGCGTGTGTGCGTGTGTGTGGGCGTGCGTGTGTGTGGGCGTGCGTGCGTGCGCGTGCGCGTGTGCGTGCGTGTGTGCGTGCGTGCGTGCGCGTGCGTGTGTGCGTGGGTGTGTGTGTGTGTGTGTGTGCGTGTGTGTGTGTGTTGCGGGGCTTCGCCACGTGGGCGGCCGTGGACCTCGCGGGCGCCCTCGGCCGGGTGGCTTGTTGCTGGCTTCAGCCACGTATAGTTTACACGACAGCGTTTGCAGCGCACATCGTGGAACAAACAGCTTGCACCACGTAGCTCTCGCGGCACAGCTTACACCACATACGCAGCTCGCAACACACTTGTTAATCCACGCAGATTGCGCCGCATAGCTGCCACATCCACACTGCAAAAAACTCAGCTGGCAGGCAAGCATGTATTGCCAGGTGTTTGGGTCTCGGGAGCGCACGTCTTTTTTGTTCCCGCGAAAGGGCGTAGGTCCATGGTTCTCTTGAGGTGGGCCGGCGGAGTTGTTCTGCGATGAATAGCGAGGAAAGGGTGGGCCGGCGGATCTTTTTCTGAGGATGTCCCGAGCGAAACGCTTGTTTTACATACTTTGTTGTTGATGTCTTGAGTGAAACGCTCGTTTTGCAGAGTTGGGGGAGGCTCGAGCGAGCGAAACGCTTGTTTTCTCGGGTCCAAGTCGCCCAGGCAGATGTTTGACATGCGGACTTGTTGAGGGGATCTCAAGCGAGACGCTTGTTTTCATGCGTCCAGGTCGCCCAGGGGGGTATCTAACATGGTTGTCACGAGCTGGAACCGCGTGTTTTTGCGTGTCCAGGCCACCCAGGGGTGCATCTAACATGGTTGCCCAGAGCTGGACCCACGTGCTTTCACGTGTCCAGGCCACCTAGTGGGGTATCTAACATGATTGTCCCGAACTGGAGCCACGTGTTTTTACGTGTCCAGGCCGCCCAGGGGGGTATCTAACATGGCGTCAGGCCCAACGCCGAATTATCAGGAAACGCACGGGGGGCCGAAAAGCGCCACCCGAACTCATATCCCAATACAGAAAAGTAATGTTTTCTTGCTCTGGACATGGGGTGGCGTTTTGGGCCCCCCCTCCCCCCCTGGGAAGACATTGCGAGGATGTCTCGAGCGAAAAGGTCAGCGTAACCAGGCCACGCAGGGGGGTATCTAACATGGTTGTCCCGAGCTGGAACCCAGTGTTTTTTACATGTCCAGGCCACCCAGGGGATATCTAACATGGTTGTCCCGAGCTGGAGCCACGTATTTTTTTTCGTGTCCAGGCCACCCAGGGGGGATCGAACATGGTCGTCCCACCCGGGGGGGTATCTAACATGATTGTCCCGAGCACGGACCACGTGTTTTTATGTGTCCAGGCTACTCAGGGGTGTATCTAACATGGTTGTCCTGGGCTGGCACCTAGTGTTTTTACGTGTCCATGCCACCCAGGGGGGATATCTGCCACGGTTGTCCCGAGCAAGGACCACGTGTTTTAACGTTCCGTAGCGTGTCCCCTTGGCAAGTCCCGCGGTGCGTCCCCCTGGCACGTCCCCTGGCACGTCGCCTGGCGCGTCCCTTGGGACGTTCCGCGGCGCGTCCTCCTGGCATGTCCCCCTGTCAATTAGCTCTGTGGCAGCAACTATGTGCTCAGGCAGCTCGAGCTTAAGATCCAGATCAGTTCGGTCAGGACTCGGATGCAAAGGAGGACTCGATCCACAACGCTATAGAGCACAATCGCGGCATGGCACCTCACAGTTCAGCACGGCGCACAACAGCACAGGCCTCGGCACGGTACATCAAGATCGATACACTGAGCATTGCATGTGCCCGTCGCCCAATCAGGTGTCTCTGAAGCGTGGCCATGCCTTACGTTTCTATATTCCTTTCCGGGTCCGTGGGCCGACCACGTTTTTGCACAGGGCTGCGTGTCCGGGAAAGCGGACCCATCGCTCTTACAGAGGATCGTGGCCCGCAGAATGATGAACCGTATTTCTGCGCAAGGTATCTGCCGCGGGAGGCCAGGTGCATCCCATGACCGCGCAAGGGGGGCGAAAGCGCGGTGGCGAAGTGGCTTGAGCTGCACATGGCGCCACCCCGCGATGCCCGCAGGCACGCGCAGCACTGCGCGGGTCCGGTGATCGGAGCCAGATCGCCCAAGAAGGCTCTCGACGACCATTGAGGACACGACAAGTAATAGGTTCGGCGGGCACGCAGAGGATCTGGATCTGCAGATCGGGGCCAGAGCTGGATCTGGGGGTCGGCCTGGTCGCCGGGGGGGGGGGGGGGGGAAAAAATCCTGGCCGGCGAAATGACTTCGACTGTGCCTGCGACCTCAAGACCCCAGCGGGCGAAGCGGTTACGCCAGACAGCTCACTGCCTAAGCCGCCCCAGCCTGAAATGCTCATGAGGTCGCCCACGACCGTGGGGGTGGTCGCGGGGTAGTGGGAAACGCCATTGGCCAAGCCCAACCCATTTGCGACCACCCCTTCTGAAGGGGGATGAGCACTCCGATCTTCTGCACAACCCCGTGCACTCCTGGGGTACGCCGCGACGGCTGCGGAGCAGCAGCAGCGTAACATCAGCGGTGGCAGCGAGGGGGCCTGCGCAGCACCTGGACCTACACCCCTCCTCCCCTCCTCCCCGCCCCCCCCTGCCCTTCCTGCTGCTCCTGCTGCTCCAGCTGCCCCTGCCCCGGCCCGCCCGCCCCTGCCCTCTCCTGCCCCTGCTCCGCCCCTCTGGCAGCTGCCCGTGCCCCAGCGAAGGCGCCCGCCGCGCGGAGGTGTCCGCGCCCGCCCGCCGCCGCCCGTGAGCGCCCCCGCCGCTGCGCGCTCGCCATGCCCCAGCTCCTGCCGGCCGCGCAGGACAGCCGGGCGCTCGCCGCCGCCTCGTCCGAGGAGGGCGAGGAGGCCGAGCTGGGCGGGCGCCGCCAGCTCGCCCTGCCAGTCGGGGCGGCGGCTCTGGTGCTGGCGCTGGTGGCGCGCCGTCGTGCCACCGATCCCCGTCCCCACCCCCATCCCGATCCCCACCCAGGGGAAGGAAGAGTGACACTAACATCAAAACTCGGAGGTCCGCGCGGATTTCTCGGATCCGCGCTGGGGCCCCCTGGCGGCGCCTCCGGCGCCGCCCCTGGCGCGCGGAGCGCGCCAGGGAGGGGCGTCCAGCGCGTATCCAAGAAATCCGCGCGGACCTCCGAGTTGTTAATTATGCTTATGTCATTCTTCGTTCCCCTACCACCGTCCCACGACCCCAGCTGGGGATGTGCCCCTCGAAGCCCGAAGGGGGCAGCCCATATCATCCCAATTTTAGGGGGGCAGATCGGCCCGTGGGGCCCCCAGGGCACGCCGGTGGGGACCCAGGCATGGCCGCGTCGTCGCAGGATCAGAGCGGCAAGCGTTGCACGATGTTCGGACCCTGGGAGCCCTCGCCAGTCCCCATGGAGCGTCAGAAAACGGCTCGGGACGGGGAGCCGGCCCCGGCGGGAAAGCGTCGGGACTTCCGGGGGCGCCGTGCGGAAGAAAGCATCCGGGCGTCGCACGGTTGGGGCCAGGGAGCGGGCGAAGAGCGCTCAGGTTGAAGGGGCCCCAGGACACACAAATAAAAGGATTCCCCACGTGTTCCCCTATTTTCTGGGCTTCTGTCTTCCCCCCCGCTTCCCATGTGTTCCCCTCTTTTCTGGGGGATCGAGGATGAATTTTGTCTGTGTGTTTCTGCTCCTCCTGACAGGTGGCAGCGGCGGCGGTCTACTCGACGTCCGAGGACGGCAGCGGCCTCGGCCAGCGGCAGCGCCTGGGGCCGCTCAAGGCCGTGGGGGCGGACGCCCGGGCGGTCGCCCTGCAGGAGCTGGACGTGGCAGAGGAGGAGGCAGTCGAAGGGCAGAAGGCAAACGCGCGGGAGTGATCGCTTTCTTGCTCGCTGCCTTGCCGAGCGGCGCGGGTCCTCGCCATGCACCCCCCCCCCCTCCATGGAGAAGACCTTGGCTGTTCTGGGCGCCTGTTTCGGGCAGGTGGAGCCTCCCCCACAGGACGCCTTGCTGCAATCAGTCGCACTGAGCGGAGGTCCGGAGCCAGATCCCCCCCGCTCCCCCCCCCCCCCCCTTCCCGCCCGATGTCGAAACGCCGAATCAACAAACGTTCACGAAAAACCAGCCTGGCCTTGGTGGCGTTTACTGGGTGGCCCTGGGCGCTTGCTGAGCAGCCCAGCCCAGGTCGATTCCTTCTCTGGGTGCGTTCACCGAAAGGCCTCGTTGGTCGGGGTGCTTCTGATGAGGGTAAGCGCCGTCAGTGTATGTTTACGCAGCTTTTCCCGCCCCCAGGCTAACACGAGTGGTGACGGAACGGGTGGCATGGTCGGAACGGAGGGCCAGCCCGACTCGAGGTGCGGGCACAGCGTCTGCTACACGGGCGCCACCTGCTGCCCCAACACCTCGGGCGGCTTGTGCGGCTCGCCGGGGTCCATCTGCTGCGGCAGCTCCATCTGCGCCCCGGGCTCCACCTGCTGTGGCAAGCACGTGTGCGCCGCGCCCGGATCCACCTGCTGCGGCGACTCCGGTGTCTGCTCGCCCGGGTCCACCTGCTGCCCCAGCGGCCTCAACGGCTCGAGCATGTGCTGCTCGGACGGCTTCCAGTGCTGCCCCCCGGGGAGCGGCCTGTCCGGGTGCTGCCCGATAGCAGCGAGCCTCAACAACGTGACGTCGTGCGGCGCCATGAAGTGCGCGGGCGGCTCGATCTGCTGCAAGGACCGGCTCTGCGGCACGCCCCAGTCTGTCTGCTGCGGCAACATCGTCTGCGCGCCAGGGGCGACCTGCTGTGGCACAGGCCCCGCCGACGACCACGACGACAACGACGGTGGCGACAACGAGAGTGATAACGAAAGCGAAGACGACGACGACGACGGCGACGACGACGGCGACAACGACGACGACGAAGACGACATCGACGACGAAGACGGCGACGACGACGGTCTTCTGCAGGGGCAAAACCTCATCTCGCATATCCACTTTTGTTGGCCATGGGGCTGCCGGAGCAGCCCCCGGAGGCCGACATCGAGGAGGAGCCTCCGCGGATCGAAGGGTTGACGAGAGCAGGCAAAAGCCGACGAAAAATCCACGATACATCAAAGCCGGCGGCGACGACGACGAGGATGGCGGCGTCGACGATGACGACGGCCAGGTATCTGCGCAAGCCCGAAAAGCACCTGCTGCGGCAACAACATCTGCGGCCCCATGTCGTCATGTTGTGACAGCACGACAGGCCAAGTGGGCGTCGTTTCGTCGTCGTCGTCGTTGTCGTGGTCGCTGTCGCCGTCTTAGTCGTCGTCTGGTCTCGGAAGCTGGGCGAGGGCTGCTAAAACCGTGGCTGCCAAAACGGCCCTCCCGGAAGGAAAAAACAATTTCCCGGAATGAGGCGCGGCACGCGAAACAGGCAACGGGCTTCTTCCCGGAAGGACGAAGACAACTTCCCGGAGGTCGATTTTAGCAGCCACGGATTTAGCAGCCCTTGCCCGGCTTCCGATGGTCGTCGTCGTCTTGGTCGTCGTCGTCTTGGTCGTTGTCGTCGTCGTCGCCGCCGTCGTCGTCGTCGTCGTCGTCGTCGTCGTCGTCGTCGTCGTCGTCGTCGTCGTCGTCGTCGTCGTCCCCCTCGACAGGCCAGAAGATGTGCTGCGGCCCGAGCTCCCAGTGCTGCCCCAAGGACAGCGGTCTGAAGGGCTGCTGCCCGCGCACGGGCCCACACCCCACGAACGAGACGGCCTGAGAGGCCGCTGGAGGAGGAGGAGGAGGAGGAGAAGGAGGAGGAGGAGGAAGAGGAGGAGGAGGAGGAAGAGGATGAAAAGGAGGAGGAGGAGGAGGAGGAGGAGGCTACAAGCCACCTGGACCTCCTGGCATCGCCACAGACTCGGGCGTGGTGCAGTGGGGAGCGACAAATGGGGGGCGGGGGGAAACATGCATCCAGACATGCTCGCGTCGTAAGAAACTCAGGACGGCCAGTTTTTCCCAACCATCCTGTGGTGTTGGGTCCTCGTTTTGAAGAGACGGTGCCCCGCGTTCCTCTCCTTCCTCCTCCCTCCTCCTCCGCCTCCTCCCCCCTCCCATCATCATCATCATCATCATCATCATCATCATCATCATCATCATCATCATCATCATCATCATCATCATCATCATCATCATCATCATCATCATCATCATCATCATCAGCTTCAGCTTCATCATCATCATCATCATCGTCATCATCGTCATCGTCATCGTCATCGTCATCACCATGATCATCATCGACATCATCGACGTCATCATCACCACCACCATCACCACCACCATCATCATCATCATCATCATCATCATCATCATCATCATCATCATCATCATCATCATCATCATCATCGTCATCGCCATCACCCATTTCGGCACACCCCTCACACGTTTCGTGGCCCCATAGGGAGCTCCACCGAAGGCCCCAGGGCTGCCGCCCGCATGCGTCCCCTACACCCATTTCGGCACACCCCTCACACGTTTCGTGGCCCCATAGGGAGCTCCACCGAAGGCCCCAGTGCTGCCGCCCGCATGCGTCCCCACACCCATTTCGGCACACCCCTCACACGCTTCGTGGCCCCATAGGGAGCTTCACCGAAGGCCCCAGGGCTGCCGCCCGCATGCGTCCCCTACACCCATTTCGGCACACCCCTCACATGTTTCGTGGCCCCATAGGGAGCTCCACCGAAGGCCCCAGGGCTGCCGCCCGCACGCGTCCCCTACACCCATTTCGGCAACGTTTCGTGGCCTCATAGGGAGCTCCAACGAAGGCCCCAGGGCTGCCGCCCGCATGCGTCCCCTACACTCATTCCGGCACACCCCTCACACGTTTCGTGGCCCCATAGGGAGCTCCACCGAAGGCCCCAGTGCTGCCGCCCGCATGCGTCCCCTACACCCATTTCGGCACACCCCTCACACGCTTCGTGGCTCCATAGGGAGCTCCACCGAAGGCCCAAGTGCTGCCGCCCGCATGCGTCCCGTACACACATTTCGGCACACCCCCTCACACGTTTCATGGCCCCATAGGGAGCTCCACCGAAGGCCCCAGTGCTGCCGCCCGCATGCGTCCCCTACATCAATTTCGGCACACCCCTCACACGCTTCGTGGCCCCATAGGGAGCTCCACCGAAGGCCCCAGGGCTGCCGCCCGCATGCGTCCCCTACACCCATTTCGGCACACCCCTCACGCGTTTTGTGGCCCCATAGGGAGCTCCACCGAAGGCCCCAGTGCTGCCGCCCGCATGCGTCCCCTACACCCATTTCGGCACACCCCCTCACACGTTTCGTGGCCCCATAAGGTGTGCCGCCGAAGAAGATACTCATAATGGCGGGACCCACGACTGCATATGGTTGGGTCCTTCGCCAGGCTAATTCTTTTTTTCGGCCCCAGGGGGGGCACTCGCTGTGCCCTGGGTCCGTCAAAAACGACTCGGGGTGAGAAGCTGACCAGGGGGAAAGGGTCGGGACTTCCGGGGACGCCGTACTGAAAAATATCACGACGTCGCATTTTTGGGTGCACCTCTTGCCCCCTGAAGAGGCCCCCTGGAGCCCCAAAGGGGCGCGACGGTTGCACGGTTGCCTCGACCCCATTCATCGCCCCCCCCCCGTGAAGTGACGCCCAACAGGCGTCGGCACCCAGAGGCCCAGGTACCTTCTGATTGGAGCTGGCTGGGGGTCTGAGGTGGCCCAGCCCCTGGTGTAGCCAGCATGATAGGGGGGGCCGAGGTTCGAGGTCCTGGGTTCGAGAAGGTGTTTGTTGTCTCTCTCTGCCTCCAGGGCGGAAAAGGCTGCACCGGGTGGACCCGGGGAGGGGTCCGCGGACAGACTCTGAGCGGATTTGCCTTGATCCCCCCTTCTTGACAGATTTCCTCGAGGTCCATCCAGGTCAGAACCACCGGCCGCCTCCCACCTTCTTTCGACGGTCCTCCTCCTCCTCCTCCTCCTCCTCCTCCTCCTCCTCCTCCTCCTCCTCCACCCCCTCCCCCTCCCCCTCCTCCTCCACCAGTCAGCATCGTTTGACCTATCCCCATCCCCGCCAGGCCATGGCACCTCAGCCCCACCATCCCCAGTTGGGGACAGGCCCCTCGAAGCCCGAAGGCGACAGCTTACATCTGGGGGGGTCAGCCGGCCAGGGGGGCCCAGCCCTCTCCAGAGGGGGCAGGGATCGGCCCCAGACATGCGACGTCCTGATTTTTTCAGTGCGGCGTCCTCGGAAGTCCAGACCCTTTCCCTTTTGTCGGTTTTTCCTCCCAGTCGTTCTTTGACGGTCCCGGGGTCTGGCGAGGGCCCCCCCAGGGACCGAGAATAGTGAAAAACTTGCCGTCCTGATTGTTACGACGCGATCATGTCTGGCGGAGGAGGAGGAGGAAGAAGAGGAGGAGGAGGAGGAGGCCGGGCGCGGCGAAGACGCTCCCGTCGCGATGCTTGCCACGACGACGCGGGAGGACCTCTGGAGCCCGCGGACAGGCGAGTCTGAGAGGCGGCGTAGGCCAGGCCCCCAACCAGGGAGAGCACGCACGGGGGGGGGGGGGGGGGAGGGCAACAGGCGCGTCTCGGGGGCGGCCAACAGGGGGGCGACGGCTGTGGGGTAGGGGCGGACATACCACGGCCAGGGCCGTGAGCGCTCCCCAGATTTCATGGCGTTGCTTCTTGCCTCAATGCGTCCCCTGGCTGCTTTTCATGTGGAGCGGCCGGCATCAGCATGGCTACGGCACCCGTACTCGCGAGCCCTGGTCGCCGCACGCAGCCAATGGATCTTCAGCAGCCCAGGCAAGGGCGCCTGTCTTCAAAAAAGGGGGCTCCATGAACACCTTACGGGGCTTGCAGAACCTCGGGGAGCCGTCAGAACCCATTCCCCCTGTGGTGCTCCGTTTTTTCGGGGCCTGGCCTGGCGAATCCACGCCCAAAGACCTCACGTCTTGGCCAAAGGCGCCAAGATTTTTTATGCCAGGGGGTCATCGGCCGGAGTAGACAGAAAGCTCCGAAAAGGGTATTGACTCGTAACTTTAAGGGGGAAGGGTTACTGGAGATCTTGGGGTCTGGAGATCGATTACTCTCATCTTCGTTTGCGGTTCCATGTCTTTCAGTGCGATCGGGATCTCATGGCGGGCGGGCTTTGATATTGATTGTTCCCCGTCCACGACCCAGGATGCGGGCCGCGCCGTAACCAGCGCGTCTAATAGTGTAGGTGATAGCATGCGCCCAGGCTCATGGAAAAGAGTGCGCCCCGCTGCCCCCTCTCTTCGGGGGACAACGATCGGGTAGGAGGAGGAGGAGGAGGAGGAGGAGGAGGAGGAGGAGAAGGAGGAGAAGGACGAGGAGGAGGAGGTCGAGGAGTAAGAGAAGAGGGGAGGAGCAGAGGGAGGAGGAGGAGAGGGGGGTCCGCTCCGGGGGGAACGCACCGGCCCCCAGTTGCCCCCATGGACCGCCGACAGGGGCCCGGCGGCCCGCTCCGCCCAGGAGCGTGCGGATTCTTCTCTACACTGGGGGCGCGTGCCAAGAAACCAGTTGGATTTTGCCAGGGTGCCCCGGGTTTCCTGGATTTCGATGGGCTCCCAATCAGATCCTGACGATCTTCGATCGACACGTGTGGACTCTCGCTGAACAAATCGCGGATCTCAGGGTTGGGTTTCTGGCGGAGGTTTCTTGTGGCCGAGCCCCCACTGTACCTGGGGCTTCTCGCCGATCTGTCGGCGATGCATCGCTGATTCCAGGTCGATGCTCCTCCCCTGGAGTTGGTCCCCCCCCATCTCGCTGCCCCTCGTCTCCATCTCTGTTCGCTCCCTTTGCTTCTGCCCCATGCCTCCTCTGTCTACTCTTTTGCTTCTTCGTCCTGCGCCACCCGTCTCCAAGGAGCTGTTCTGGGAGGAGGCGCTCGTGCATGCTCCCTTTTCCCCAGACGCCCGACGTCATGATTTCTTCATCGTTGATCCCGAGATCCATTCCCCGGGACCAGCTTTTCATCCCGAGTCGTGTTGAAGGCCCTGGGACTCGGCGAGGGCCCCCAGAGGCCCAACATTGCCGAAAACCGCCCGTCCTCCCCCGGGAAACAGCCGAAGCGCGCAACATCTTGCAAACAATGGTGATCGTTTTCTTATTTATTGGTTTGCCGATCGGCGCGGGCCCTCGCGCCCCCCCTCCCCCCACCCCATGGAGTGGATCTTGGCTTTTTCTTGGCGCCTGTTTCGGGCAGGTGGAGTCTCCCCCATAGGACGCACTGCTGCAGGCAGTGGCAGTCAGCAGAGGTCCGGAGCCAGACCCACCCCCTTCCCCCCCCTCATCCGCCCAATGTCTAAACGCCGAATAAAAAAAACGCTCACATAGTGGGCGCAGTTTGCGCACTGGCAGGCAAGAGTGGTTCTTGGTTGACGCCGGGGCGTGCCGGGGAGCGGCGTTCGAAGGGAGCGGCTGGCGAGCCCCCCTAGAGTTAAGCCAAAGGGAGCGATGCTCGGTCGCGGAAGTAACTCCTCCTCCTCCTCCTCCTCCTCCTCCTCAGAACCCGAAGATCATCCGCAACCTCCTCCACGGGAGCCAGGTGACGGTGACCCCGGGAATTGCTCCCCAGCCGGCGCGGGGAGCACCGCAGCCACCCTTGCAGGTGATCAGCTGGAGTTGTCGTGGGCTCGTGTGCCCAAACGGCCGCAGGAGGCGCTTAAAGCTCCAGCGACTGCAGCGCTTCATGCAGCAGAGGGCCGTCATCCTGCTGCAGGAGTGTCACGGCTACGC